TGAATTCAAAAGCATCTCATGAGATAAATTTGAAGTGAACCAAAGTACCTTTGTGATTCTATTTCTTAAATGATCTTCCTTCTGAGGCAATAGAGAAGCAAGATGAATCAAATCAGGAAAGCAGTCAATGTGAAGCCACTCAAATGAAGGCCATTCCACATGCCCCCTGTACAAACTTTATAAAATCTCTCAAAACCAAATTGCAGCTAGGTTTCCAAGAGCTTTCAAAATACAAATTCAACGACACTCTATCGCAACTCAACTCAATAAAACCTTTATCCCAATCATTTGCAGTCCGTTACATCTATTTCTCTATAACAACACAATATCTCAAAATGGAAAGGGTAGGTCAATTGAGCTTACCCTGCATACAGTTCAAACAAGGAAGTTGAAAATGATGTTCCTGCAGATTCTGGCAGAAGGAAATGGACATGCCTCAATAGCTTTTTGGTGCACAAATGGAAGCAATTCCACCAGCAACCGCAATAATACATCGACATTCCAGCGTTCTCTTTCACCCAAAACACGGAGATGTGACTCAACAGAACCTTCAACTCCTGAAAGAGGTTGACAACGTTGAAAAAGTAGCTATATCAAAAACTATGCAATGAGAAACTAGGCCCCGACACCATGGATGCCCTAGTCCAGCAAACCGAGTTGCCATTTACACCTGAGGTCCTCCATTTCCCTCTCCCTTAGAAGTTCTGGATGCCGTCGATAGAGGCATTCGACGGGACCAAAGACCCAGTCGATCACGTAAACTCCTACAAGAATCAGATGGAATAGGTATCCATCCCCTATAGAGAGGGAAGGTTTGTCGCTGTAAAGTGATTTTCGGCGTCCACTTCGGGAATCAGGGGAGTCTCTGGTAGGTTCTGGTGGGCTTAAGGGTTGGCAGGAGCTTTACTCATATTCCGAGTTGAAACCATCAAATAAAAATCATATAAGGAAACGATGAAAATCGTTCCCACAGACGGCGCCAACTGATGATGGTCGGAATTTGCTGCCCAAGCCAAACTAAGATGGGATGGCGTTGTGAAATGGTTTTTGGAGGTTATGGATTAATCTTAAATGATCAGTTAGACTGGGAATATAAGTGGTTCACCTTAGCAGAAAGTCTAAGGCTACATCCACTATCAACGGAGTGTCTTGCTCGCTGAGTTTGTATATTCATCGACCAGCAAAGTGCCTCATGTAATTTGGGACTCGGAGTCCGCTTACAAAGGATGAGTATCCAGGTATTCTCTCTCAGCATTCTACGCTCTTAGGCTCTCTAATGTTCTCCGAACTTTTTGCTGGGAAAAAATATCCTCTTTTTGCCTGGGTTATCGTTATTTATTTATATTAGCTCTTCTTAGGGCCTTCAGCTGTCCTTTCCTCTGACACCCTTCTGCTTCTTCTACCACTATGATCACTGCTCATCCAGTGTCCCTGTTCATTCGGCATTGCCGTCGCCATGATCTCTAGCGGTCTGGTGCTCCACCTTCTCTGAGTTTGTCGTAGGTGTCAGGGGTGGTCCCCCTAGATGCGTGGTCCCCTCTGCCCATCCAGAGATAGTTTGAACTGGGCTTTTATTCTTCAAACCGCTTTATGGTTTGAGCTGGGCCTGGACTGCTGGGTTATAGGCTTTTTGCCGATATTAAGTCCTCCTTCTCTGCTCCGGGCCTCTTGGGCTGGTCAGGCTTCTGCGCCATCAAAGCCTTGGCCTTGAATTTTGTCCGTATCACCTTCCCACCACCTACTAAACGTTAATTAGAAAAGGGATGTTATTTGAACTTAAAAATTTTAGTTATTAAATTAATTTTTTTAAATTTAGATTAATTTAGACCTTGAAAAATAAAAATTATTTTAATTTTTCATTTGAGATTTGAATTGTCTTTTATTTTATTATATAGATTTATTCCCCCAACGATAAAAAGGTTTAGCATTAAACATTGACGGTTTCACAAATTGCTAAATAAACATTTTAAAAAAATGTGGTAGTTAGTATTCTTTTACCGATGAAAAACTTCAAAAGATTATATATATTGGAAACCAAAATAAATCATAAATATTTGTAATCACCCACTAGCTATATGTATCGGTTAAACTTACTAGACAAAAAAAATTCTAAAAAATGTCATTTACATTAAATCATGGATTAGCCCTGATGACAAGGTCCTCAGCTTCCAATTAGGAGGTTTAAAGTTCGAATTCGGCCAAAGATTGATGACCAGTGTATGTGGTTTAAAAAAAAAACTAGTCTTTTCTAAGGACTATCTCAAACTCACAAGCCACTTAGCTACTATCATGTCCTTCATCTTTGATACAGAACAGATACATTACTATATCTATCTGAATGAATAAATGAAAACATAGGGTTAACCACGTTTTATAATCTTTTTTTGCCTTCATTGCCATCCCTTACGAAGTTTTCCAATGTTTTATAATTTCGAGAGAATCAAAAGTTAGATGAAGTTCACTATTTTTTATGTTGTTTATTAGCAAAAAGATAAGTCATTCACAAAAAAAACATGTTATAACGTAGTTCGGTTTAAAAATCGTATTAAGAAATGATAAGCTTAACATTATATACGCATATTACAAATATAAATATAACAATGCACATGCAATGGTTGGATGAATCGCCATTAAAGACCAACGTGCTTGCTTGAAATGGGTTTCATACACTCGTTTCTTTTCTTTTCTTTTTTAAGACTTTTGGGGAAGGAGAAACAAAGAGAAGGATTAATGTTAATTTTATTGACAAAAACGTGTGGAACCTTCCCATAAGTCTGCCTCTTGAAGGTTTTCAAGAGCCACTTACAATAACCTGCTATGGCATGGTCCTATGGCAAATGACCCATAAAATAAGATGTCGGTGAGTTGAATTAAAAAGGAGAATCTAACTACATATACTTCGAATAATGCTAGATTGATTAAAAGATTTGAACCAAAAAAAATGCTTAAATGATATGATACCGACACGGTATACAAAATTTAAATTTTAAATGAGTAAAAATGAGCTCAAAGAATCGTCCTTTGTTTTTTTTTTTTTTTTACTAGTCTTACGTTATATCTTAAGGGCACGTTTAGATGACACTAATCTTAACTAGGAATGAATACTTCATTTTTAATAATAAGATCCCCGAGATTTAATTACTATAGTAATATTATATTTAGTGTTTGATTATTGTCAGTAATTTAGTATAAGAATTAATGTCATTGTCAAAATATTTTAGGAAGGAATTTAATTTTAGGAAGGTGATTAATTTTTAGAGGAGAACTTACTTTTATAAACGATGTTCATTTTAAGATTTTTATTATTTTTATAGAATATTCAATCAATGCAAATACAAGATTAGCATCATTGGCCATGGCTTTAGAATACCCATAATTATTGAGAATTGTATTATGATAAGACTTTATTCCTGAGTTAAATTATTGAATTATTGATTATCTAAATATAATAATTTAAAATTTAGAAATAAAAATTTCATTCTCAGTTAAAATTACCTTCATCCAAACAAGCTTCAACTCTTTGCGAGGACCAGCCACCTATATTGCCTAGCCGCCCGAAGCCTTCACAACAGAAGTTCTGAACAGCGGGCAGACTTGTGAGCTTGGCGGCCAAAAGAAACGGGCTAGCCGTCAAATGACAGGTCACGGATAGCCCGAAAAGCCCAACAAGTAGGGCCGAATTTTGGGCCTATTCCTGTCTGGCTGGTCCAAATTAAGCCGAAGAGAGGTTGCCGGTGAGGTCCATGACAGAGCTCATTTACCCGTTTAAATTGAAAAAAAATAATAAAACAAATTAGAAAACAAAAAATTTGGGTGGTTTGATTTGCACAAGATGCAGGTAGAACTGATAATGTAGCCGAAAATATTATTTAAGGTCGAACACGAGTTGAGCTCGAATAACTTGGTTCGATTATCAATCCTAACTACAAGACATATAATTCTTCGACTGTCACCCGGTATACAATTTACGACATGACTGTGCAACCGTCGATCCATCATGGGCCATTGATTGAAGGACATGGTAGACTCAGCCCATTTCCTAGGCCCAGAATCAGCGACAACTTATGGAAGCAGTTTTTGTTCTGAAATAGGTAATGGATTGGTTCATCCGATTTTGACCCATTGTCCATGATTAATGTACAACAGTACCAACAAGCAGGTATAGGATTCAATAACTCATGGCCTGGGCAATCAACGGATGAGATCTGGATCGAAATCTGATAAAAAAATTTGAGTTATAAATTCGATTTATTTATCTGACGAATTTAAAAGTTGAATTTATATCCGTATTTGTTAATAATCAAATATCTGATCTGATTATCTGATTTGATATATAAAAAATTTGAATCTCAACAAAATTTCATTAAAAAAAAGATTTTATTAAATTTAAGTTAACATTTAACTTAATATATATGTCAAATTAAATTTTTATCGGATCTGATTTATATGTATCTAAATATAAATTAGATAAAGAAACTTAATCGAATTCGGATAAACAGATTAAAATATTAATCTATATCCGGTTAAATAGACTTGAATTGGAATTAGACATCCATACCTACTCATGGCTTGGTATCATCCACTCTTCAATTTATGGCATACAATATGTTTGATATTGTTCGATTCAAGATATATATAAACCGAAATCTCTTTAGGTTTTTTTTCTCATATCCGAAAACTATCTTAGCCACGAGTGTTTTGGACCTGTGAATATTATATGAATTCGAGATAAGAGCAATCATTTGAAAAGCATGCATAGCAGGTTCATGTTATACAAAGTAGTGTTAGGTGAATTGAGCATATTTGTTATTAGCGAAAATCTAAATTCGCGAGTGAGTGCGTGCGCATGTGTGTGTGTGTATGAGAGAGAGAGAGAGAGAGAGAGAGAGAGAGAGAGAGAGAGAGAAATAGAACAACCATTTCTACTAGGAACCAGTAAGTCTTATTTCGTATATATGAGTAGTTCACTTTGCAAGCAGCCAAGTGACGCCTTCAATATTTTAACAAGTTGGGACTGTCACACCACAGGACTTAACAACCTTTTGGGCATCGGGAGAGTTGACATACTGCTTGAGGTTGGGGTCTTTTATGTACCCACAAAGGCAAGGAATCTGCTCCTTCAGCTTGTTGCAACATTCAGCAGACGGTGGCTTCGGCGACTTGATCGCCTCAGTGCATGGGCTCAGCTCCGTTGGGGTGCACGTCACTGCCACTGCCACGCGTGCCTCTCCCATCACAAGCACCACCACCACTGCCACTAGACAAAGTGCAACACAAGACATCTTCATCTTCTTAAGAAAAGAGAAATAGAGGGAATGGTATGCACCTACTGCGTACTAGGCCGAAGGAGTGCTGCACAATTTATAGAGGACTGATGTCAATTCATCGAGTAAAATGGGTAATTGTGTGTGGTGAAATTTGTATTGTAATTTTTAACTTCGCTTGAAAACACGTGATTAAGAGAATCTTCGTCAGCAAAAAAAACAAACAAAATTAGGGATAAGATCACTACACTTAATGGACTTCCTAATTGATTCTTTAAAAGTTGTTGAAATGATGCCAAACTAGTTAATTTTTGTCATCTGGTTAGATGGGGGATGAACCCATTAATTTCTTGGTGACTTTTCTTTCCACTTTTTCTTTGGTAAGTAGCATCTATCAGAGTCCTATTGTAAGGGGTTTTCTTCCTCTCTACGAAAGGATTCTGGCTGACCTTGGTGAGCTAAGAGCTATCTCCTCCATAGTGGGTGGTCACCTATATGACAGAGGAGAGTTAACTCTCTTTCAATGTGGGACGAGAGATAAAAGTTATTGGGTAAACAAGAGATAAAGGCTACTGGGTGGTCACCCAATAGCCTTTACCTCTCGTCCCACATCGGGAGAGAGTGGGCATTTATTTGGTAAGGGGGGACGACTCTCTTTCGATGTGAAACGAGAAGTAAAGGCTACTGAGTGGTCACCCAAATGAGCCAAAATCCTTCCATGGTGGGGAACAGAACCCTTACACCTACCAACCTCTGAACCGAGTGCTGGTCTTTGATGGACTCAACAATTCTTCGTCATTAGCTATAATTTTCCAAAGTGCCTCACTAATTTCAACCTCCCTAATGAGTAAGGAAGACATTTGCCTCCGATTTATACTAATGCACCGGGTCCTAAACATCTTAAATTCTAATCTCATTGAACAAATAAAATTTTGACATAATTTGTGAGTAATTGTCGTCGTGAGTCCTAAAAATGTGTGACTGAGACAATTTTTCGTTACACAAAATTGAAAAAAAAATTAATATTTGTTTTTGTCAATGTTTTTATTTGTTAGTTGTTATAAATTATGTTAATAAATTATGTCAACAAATTAAGTCTAAATTAAATTATTAATTTCCTAGTTCCAATTTTTTTTCTAACCAAAAAGGGGCATCCTTATTAGACTGTTAAAAAAATGACCCACACGTTTGGTTTTCCATACACTTGCTTACCCTAGGGGCACGTTTTGGTTTAGGTATTAAGAAATTGAATTTGATTACTTTTATTTGGTGATGATGCAATACTAAATTTAAATTGGATTATAATGACTTGGTATTAATTTCTCATTAATCCCAACCTTATTGTCACTTAACACCTAATATTAATTATTAATAAATACCATGTGATAAGTGATATTATTTTTAACAAGTTTATTATTAAAAATATAATGACTTTATTATCCTTGCAAACCTAGATTCACACCTTCCTATAAAAATTACACATTAAAAATTACACATAAATTACACATTTATTTTGTCATTTTAAATTTAATATCATTCACTATTATCTAATCCAAACATAAATTTAGTATTATAATTATAAATTTATACATTATCCCATTCGTGATCCAAATGTGCTACAGAAAGAATATGATCAAATAATACTCTTATTAATACCATTTGTATGGATTGAATGAGAACCAATTATCTAATTCTATCCTCTACGTGTATCCGAACCAAAAATGCCCTAACAGAACAAAGGAGGGTCAGGTACTAACTTTCAAATCTAAAATCCAGCCAGCTAAAAATAGGGCCAGCCCAAAGCCTAGTTCAGGCCCACAATGGTCATACCGATAGAAATTTGACGCTTCAAATGGTAAAAAAATTACATAGATAGATCCTTTCAACCGTGTTTTTTCTCCTGTCAACCCTTGCATTTTGCAAAAAATATATAACTAGGGATCCAGAACCCTTCCAACATAATTTCTCTTTATTTTTCTTCTTTATGAATAATCCCACCATTAACAAGTAAGAGATTTACTTACATATAATGAGTCTTACTTAAATACATAATAAATGATTTGTCAAGAAAAAATGTTATGTCATATAACTTGAGGAGCATGCATGAACTCTCAAGAAGACTAGACAAATCTAAGAATTTTTTGGAAAATAACATCACTTCCACAACGGCTGGGGACCCACTGCAAGCCCAATTACCCAAAAGGGTAGTCTATTGGTTGTGGTATGCGGAAACCATATAATTGGAGAGTACAATTCGACATCTCATTCAATGCCCTTCCCTTTCAGCCTGAGGGGAGGAATACTTCAAGGAAAATGTCCTGTTCAGATGAGTTCGTAGGTGGGCCTTAACTCACAACTAAAATCTACTTCAAAATCTAATCAATATCCTTTGTTTAAACAGGCATGTCATGAACATTGGGTTCAGGATAGCCGGCTTCAAGGACAAGACATCCCTTTATGTTCTTAGAGAGACACGGTAAACACAACCACCCAGACGTTCAATCATGGTCAAGACGAACAATCAAATCCAGTATGTAGAAGGTGGGGTAATTGTAAGTCACTTATTGGAGATGATTGTAAATCAATTTTTTTTTCTATTTTCTCAATTGTATTGTCTGTTTATTGGGTAGAGAGAAAGGAAAAATAGATACTCATCTTTATCATTTGATTAATCATAAAATACTCAGCCCCATCAATGGGCAAAACGAGGGATAAGGAGCCAAAAAGGAAAAAAAAAAAAATCAAAGCTTCCATCACACATTAGAGACTTACCATGTTGTCGAATGTCATTGGCTAGGGGGAAGTTCCTCACTACTCTTTGTTTTGCCCCGGAGCATGTCTGTAAAACCACCTCTCATGATTCGCCTAAATCTTGTGTCCTCAACCGGTGGTTGCGGTTGTGGGACAGCCGTTGCAGGTTCAACTGACTCGGGAGGTGGCCCCGGTTGATCTGCAGTTTCCTTCTTGCCCAGTAGCCCGCCTTCACCAAAGAAACTGCTCACAGATGATGCAAGCCCGAGATGAGCACCCATCACTTTACTGATTGCATCAAATGTTCCACCTGATCTTTCCTTCATTATAATCTCAAGAGCTTCTTTATGTGCTGGATCAAGTGCATCAGTGTCTTTTAATAGGTTCTGTATGGAAGGAAGGAGGAAATCCCTAACACTAGTGACCGCCAGATCTGCAGCAAAGCAGAAAAGAGATTGAGCACCAAGTGGAGAACAAGGGAATGAGAAGCTGATATTGTGCTACACTTAATCAGAGCTATGAGAGACACAGTTTGGCTGCATTAGGTAAGGTCAGAGATTCTAGTGACCCCCATCTATATTCGATATGCAACCTCCGAGGCCTTGTCTGCCTAGCAAACTATGACTATAAACTACTGACTGGGGGAAGAAAAAGAATATTTGTTATTCTTGAAAGAAGCAAACCTGTAGCATCTAGAGCACGGATTGCTTCACAAAATGCGTTGGCTCTCTCACGATGACGCATCATGTCACTTGAAGGAGGGGATGTGGTTGTAAGTTGGAAAATCTTCGACAATAAATGTATAATACATTAAGAAACAGCAATTGTAGCATTTTCACCCAACATTTTGAACCAACAAAACACTTATAAGGCCTAAAACAATAAGACAGAACTGCATGCTTAATTACTTGATGCATTAAAATTAATTCACCACAGGAAAAGTTTGAGGATATAATCTCTAAGCCTATCGGTTGTATGTGGTACTGCCACCACCAATGCACGTATCACAGTAATGGTAGCTTCATGGGATCCATCTTCAAGAAAAGCATCCATTTGAATGCGTATTTTATCAACAATCTAAAAGGAATTTGGTCAGTTAATTCCATTCAAACTTCTCAATTGATAATTGTCAGTTACAAAATAAATACTAATTAAACATCAAATATTTACCATGTCATTTTTAAAATGCTGTGCTACAGCTCCAAATGCAGCAATGCTAGCATACTTAACGATCAAATTTTGGTCAGAGCCAAGAGTCACTAGAGCAGGCAAAACATGAGTTGAAGCAACCTTTGCATCAATATATGGCACCTATCGAAAGAGTCAAATGATGAAGTTACAAATGCAGATCTAAAAGCAATTGCAAGAGACAAGCCTACAAGAATAGAAAGGCTTACGATGACTTTTAATAGATTGGCAGCACCAATTTTCATATCTATGTTGGAACTAACGACCATTTCCCACAGAATATTAAAAATCATCTTATGATGTTCTTCAAATGTGCTGCATTGTAAAATTGGAGTGAGTCAAACAATTAAATTAAAAAAAAAATCAACTGAATAAAATGATTATTTTTTAAAATGATACCAACCAAAGGAAGCGAATAGAATTAAAAATCTCAGCATTGAACTTTGCTGGTTGACCCTCTTGCACTACACTCTGGCCTAACAATTTTTTCAAGTACTCTGTCAATTGGTCGTGCTTGCTAGGAGAACCAAGCACACCAGCCAAGAGAAGTGGAAGGACACACATAGTAGCCAGTCTCTCAGCCACTGCAGTTCTAGGTCTCAAACCTGTAATGAAAGAAGAATTCACAATCATACAGTGGTGTACAGTAATAGTAGCATAGAAAAAATTTCAGATATTCACTACCTCTAATTCTCGACTGGATTGGGTTTGGTAAAAATTTCAAATCAGCATTATCACCAACTGCTACCAAGAATACAGGTAACATGACGTGCGCCAGATAATATTCCCCAAAAAGTTCAGATACCGTCAACAATACCTGCATTAGCAACAAGAAGCTTAGCAACTACGCAGCCAGATAATATTCCCAAAAAAGTTCAAATACCGCCAACAAAGCTGCATTACCAACAAGAAGCTTAGCAACTACGACAATAGCAAGGAATAATGCATAAACCTGAGGACTCAATGAATTCAAAAGCGTCTCACATGATAAATTTGAAGTGAACCAAAGTACCTTTGTGATTCTATTTCTTAAATGATCTTCCTTCTGAGGCAATAGAGAAGTAAGATGAATCAAATCAGGAAAGCAGTCAACATGAAGCCACTCAAATGGAGGCCATTCCACATGCCCCCTGTACAAACATTATAAAATCTCTCAGAACCAAATTGCAACTAGGTTTCCAAGAGCTTTCATAATACAAATTCAACGACACTCTATCTTAACTCAACTCAATAAAACCTTTATCCCAATCATTTGCAGTCCGCTACATCTGTTTCTCTATAACAACACTCTACCTCAAAATGGAAAGGGTAGGTCAATTGGGCTTACCCTGCATACAGTTCAAGCAAGGAAGTAGAAAATGATGTTCCTGCAGATTCTGAAACAGAAGGAAATGGACATGCCTCAATAGCTTTTTGGTGCACAAATGGAAGCAATTCCACTAGCAACCGCAATAATACATCGACATTCCAGCGTTCTCTTTCACCCAAAACACGGAGATGTGACTCAACAGAACCTTCAACTCCTGAAAGAGGTTGACAACGCTGAAAAAGTAGCTGTATCAGAAACTATGCCATGAGATCAATGAGAAAATATTAGTCAGATTCAAAAAATTAATTATACCTGAGCAGAGCCCAAAATGTGAGAGAGTAAAACTCGTAAAATATGATCCAATTTGTTTCCCCATTTTAATAGAGTGGGAACTAGTTCTTTGATTGTAGTTTCTACCACCATTCCAGAGGAATCGCAAACCAATTGAAACATCATCTCCTCAACCTGTAAACAAACAAAACAAAGGAATTGGAGACACTATTTATCCTTCTTTTTTTGTTCATCACTTCTGATCAGGGGAAAATGCTCCATTCCCTAGACCATGTAGCTTACATTGTAGGAAATTCTGTCAAGTCAGATTTCTTCTCCATGATTGCCTCGAAGCATATTTAGTGATGCTGACCTTGAAATATTTGTCTGTATTTGGGAAGAGCGGAAGCAGCAAAGCCAGATTATGTGCAGCAGCCTCGCGGACCACAGTCGCAGAATCTTCCATCAGCTGTTGCACAATTGATAAGATGAGAGAATCACGGATCTCAGGCCGCACAAATTCTGCAAGCTCTCCACATGATTGAGCAACAAGCAGCCTGCGCTCCTCGTACATATGATTAATCTACGTCCCACAAAAAAAAAAATATCAAACCCAATTTAAAGACAAAATGGGAAAACATATGGCAAATGTGAGTTCCTAGCAACATCAACACTTAATCTTACTTGTTCCCAACACTGGGGAAGCAGTTCTGTTTCGGTTCTCATCTCTCCTACATTCTTAGCAAGGGAAACGCAAGCCTGAACATAACTACAGATTCAGCATCATATTTAAATCATATTTATGCCACATAATATCTAACAATATTCATGTGGTAGTAAGAAACTTACATCCATTATGATTCTTCTCTGTTGTTCATCTGGACGTTTAATTAAGTTAAACAATGTGTGGGTCAGGGAATCTCGTGTGCTACTATCTGGATGGCGTTCAATTGCACACATCATCAGGGGAAGAAGCTCCTACAGGCAATAACCAATAAAATGCATAATAAAGGCAAAAAAATAACCTAAATACAGCCATATAGGTATGGAGTCAAGGATAGCAATACTTTCAAAAGCATACCTCCCGATGGTTGATCAGAACATAAGGAACAATTTTAGGCAATGCATCAGAAAGGATCTGAATGGTCCCTAAACCCTAGCAAGACCAAGTTGAATGTTATTTCAGATAATACTAGTATAATGAAAAGATTTCACCATATGCATTAAATTGAGCCAGACATTTACCATCTTCTCAGAATCAGGTTTGCCACCTAAACTTTCTGATTTTAGATGTAACCCATTGTCTGGTGTGGGTGGTGGACCATTCTGCTTCAGGTCATCCTCAGCATTCTCTGTTGCACCATTTTCATATAAAGAACTCAGCACTGGCTCTTCAGAAGCTTTTTCAGATCTGTCCATGGTATCATCGGAGGAATGATTTGCATGCAGTTGAGAGTCTACACTCTCCAGAACTCCGGATGCAATGCCAACGGAAGAAGTTAAGGCGTTATCATCACACAACTCAACAACTTTGTTTTTGGTCGTCTCCGTAATCTCTTTCTCACTATTTATAGATTCTACAAATTCATTGGCAATAGATCTTTCTGCCTTTAAATTATCTACTTTCTTCTGCAGCAGTTTTATTTCTTCCTTGTAGCTCTCTAAAGATGGCGAATGCACATGTTCAACATCACCAGTAACCAAACTCCATCCAGATCGAGCTCCTTCAATGTGCATTTTCAATGAAGTTATTTCTGCTCTGCAATCATTTAGTTCTTTTCTTTGGTGGTCCAAGGACTGCTTCAAATCCTGTACCTGAAACAGGATATCATCTAGAATTTCATACATGAAATAGGATAAAATCACATATATTAAAAAATGATGACCAATTCTTCGTCAAAGATTGATGTTATAATCAGAGCGAACTACCAGAATCTCCTTGTCCTTTATATCCTTCTGTAGGGCCTCCAAAGATTTTGTCAATGCCATAACTTGGCCATCAGCCAGTTCTTTGCTTTTCAGCAAAGACTGCTTTTCATCTTTCAGCCTATTATTTTCTTTAAGCATAGACTCATTTTCTCGAAGCATAGCAATTTTCTCCTGCAGCAAAGGGAAGCCCTCTTACTCATGAGAAGAGTTCAGTACAGGTGACAACTACTTAAATATAAACTACTGAAGAATTAGATCAACAGAAACTGTCTACAATTTAATTTTGGTCTTAGAACAATCATTAGAAGAAGAAATACTCCCCCTAGTAATCATCCATTCTATCTAGTATTCAAACCCATGGCATTTTCTCTGCATGTAATTTGGTAAGAGCGCAGTTATGGAATGACCTAGTCTCTTCAAAGAGACAATAGTGAACAGCTGTAAATTAGATAGAAATATGTAGTATAGGAAGAAACATGTGCCATTGCATATGTCGACCCACTAATAAAATTTAATAAGCCACAACATATTACATCAAAATACATTGAGAAGAATGCAATAATAATGCATGTGTGCAGACCACATTTTCAAATTTTAGGCCACTGATATAGTAAAACAGGAGAAACTTCACAAAGTTCAATTAAATTTTAATTAAAAGGTACAGATGGACATTAACTCTAGATGGATATTCTCTCATTCCAAAGATTCAGTTGCAATTAATTGAAGTCAGAGTACACCAATTTTTGGAAAAAATCAATAATTTGAAATCTTTTCAAATGTCTAATAAAATTAATTAAAGATCACAGAGCCACAAACTGATCTATAAGCTCTATAATAAAACCTGAAAAATAACATGCCTATCCCATAGGCATCTTAGGAAGTACCTCAGCAGCTTCTGAGGTGGATGAGAGGTACTGGTAATAGTAATGGCGCAGGGCATCTGGTACACAAGCAGATGAATTCTGCCAAACATCTAAGTTCTGGTCAGTAACCTGCAAAGGATGTATTGAAAAGTTACAACAATGTATATCAAGCATGGTCATATATGAAACACTCATAAAATATTGCAAACATGTTCTCTAGAGATTTTCTACTATACCATTATATCTAACACACCGACCACACATGAGCATAGTGAGATAACTACCAATACTGGTCAAAATAATAACTCGATCAAATCATACTCTATCAAAGTGGATTACAAAAGTATAATTGATCCTGCTGGCCAACCTAGAAGCAGTTACTCAGATGAAGTTTAGGATTTTGGGAACTACAATTCTGCAACATACAGTTACATATACACCATGTAAAGCACTTACACTGTATCCAATATTCGTCAACCAAAAGCTAAATTGTTTTATGCTTTAAAACAAGTACATCCCATGATTGCTAAATTGCTTTATACAGTTACATCCCATGATTTTATGCTTCAAAAGCTAGATTGCCCTAGGTATTGTTTCAGAATCATTTATTAAGACTAATATTAGAAAAGATGATCAACCAAGCTCATGAACACGGGCTGTGTCACTTGTCAAGAGTTTCAAATTTTTGGAACTACATTTGTTTGGTCAAGCCAGAAACAAATTATTTTGGATCTAGTAAATCTTGACACAACCCATATGGAACATCTACACTTATATCTACCATGTATGCTTACTATATGTAAATATTTCTTCAATTGACCAAATTTTTGCATCACATTTTGTCCATTGGTGTGTGCGTGTCGACCTGTCAACTGCAGTCAAGACCTTCTACAGTCAACAAATTCAACTATTACATTCTCTCTAACACCTTGACAAAATGAAGAAGGAATAACCATAAATAACTATGAGATACAAATATATTGCGAGATATGATGGTGAAGAAATAATTACACTCCCTTCATTTTTCCATACCTCCTCGTAAAATGTCATTGCAGTCAGACGATACCCAGCTAAAAGCAAATACTCTTTCACTGCACAGTTGAGATCTCGACGTTCATTGTCTTTCAAAGGACCCAAATCAGAGAGCGAAGTGTCCCTCTTTTGCTGCAGAATATCTGGTCCATCGTTTGTAGAAGCATCTGCATTTGACCCTGCAAAGTGCATACAAGACAGATATAATTTCATATAACAAGGACAAATGTCTTAATCATATCATGAAAGCAAGAATAACTTATAGAAAAAAAAAACAGCAGCAAAGAATCACTTATACCAAGTGGAACCTATAACACTTTGTTATTTTGGTGGAATAGCTAATTCCATGCAACAAAATTTAAAGGAAGGTAGAGGAAATGGTGAAAATTGAGTGCGATCTTGCTGACACACCAAACAAAATGGTGGTAAACCTGGTTATACATAGGAACACCTTCAAAGATTTAGCGTTCCATTGTCTTGGAACAAAGACATACGATTTAAAAGGAGCCAATTGACCATGGCAGACAATATGGAAAAGACCATTTATGTTGAACACTATCTATGTAGATATGTCACATAACAAGTGCAAACATACAAAAGCATGGGATGTCGGATGTGAAGCAAAGTAACACTGCCATACACCAGGGAGCAGTACATTTTCAGTTTTCACTGACACAGTAAAAATAATAATCATAAAGTCAGAAAGCACAATATCGCAGAAACGAGACAAAGTGGAAGCCCTACCACTCACTTCATCTAGAGAGGTCCCAGTTTTCTTCTGCAATTCAGTCTTCAGTTTGAGAATGTCTTCTTGGACTAAACGAAGCTCATACTCACTGATTGCCAGTTTTTCTTCTAGTGCTTCTTTTTCTTCTAGCAGACTCTGCGGGTCCGCAACTAGTTCCCATAAATGAAGAGGAAAGACATGTGAATTAGCTATGCATAAACCCAGGATGAGAACAGAAAAATACCTTAGTAACTACAGATGGCAAGTTGAGTATGGTCACCTTATCAAACAGCAAATTAACAAAGTTGTAGACCATATTCAAGCATCAATTTACCAGTTGAAGACATGAAAATTTTGTCAAACGAAATCATAACAACAGTCCCAACAGCTGAAAACCAAAAGCTTCACAACTGGAATAGAAGATAGAATGGAAATATACAAAGTGGATTTTTCATTTCAATTTTTAGGAGCCACTACCCTAGGAAAAGGCTTGAAGCACCTGCTGCATTCGAGCGTCAGTATGCAAGTTCTTCAAATAGCACACCTTACTAACATGACAATCACAAAGACTTGCAGTCTCATCCAACAGCAGTGATAAAATTTCTATGTATGAACTTTTGCCAACTAAAACAGCAAAAAACCTGATCATCTTGGCAGTCAGATGAAAATCAGAATAGCTCTAGTTTGGCAATGAGAGAGAGGATATTACATATTTCAGAGAGTTCTATTTGCGATTAAGTGTTTCTTCCTAATTGTCAATGTAACTCAGAAAGCTTCACAAAAGTCAACAATTTTTGTCCCATAATAGAGTAGAAACAAAGTTGTTTTGAATTAAAGCAACTCAAAACGATATTTCTTCAACATCCCTTAAATTGCATCAAACCACAGAAATCATAGTCATATAGGAGTAACCCAAATGATTGTAACAAAATACGCCACTAATGATTAGTAGTCTGAGATTCGCACCATTACAAAAACGTTTTAAGTTCAACATTTTTTGTAAACTGTGACTTCAAATCTAGCTGATTTACTTACAAGACCACTTCGTTAAACTAATTACACACGAAATGATATTCTCTGTAACATTCTAAGGCAGCAAATCAAATTTAACTATAGCAACACAACATCAAGAAGTTGAGATCCGGATTCTTCTTTTGAAGTTCAATTCCGCATGAAAACCTAATCAAATTCGCGCATATAATATCAACATGAGAGAACAATCCAAATCATTCAGGTCAATCTTCAATCAAAACAGTAAACAGCAGAGATAAAATTATTACTACTTCAATTTTAAACTATCCAGAAATGTGAAATATGTGCGTATGTGTGTGTATCTATCTATGTATGCATGCACAGACAGAAAGAGAGAGGCGTTGAACCTCGGAGAGAATTGAAGCGAGAGATCTGGTCGGGAGGGAAGTGAGACGGATCGGAGAAGAATTCCTTGAGGCGAATTGCGTGAGCGTCACGTCCATCGTCGAGGAGCTCGTGAAGAAGCTCGAACGCCGACAACAAGTAATTCTCTTCCAACAGAAAGTTGACCACGCAATTGCACAGTGACGATCTCTCTAAGTCCATTTGCAATCGATCATGCGCTCACCGCTATACAATTGCGAATTACATACATAGGGTTTCTTCTCTACAGCATTGAATTGGTGCCAACTATATAATTCAGATCTGTTCATGCACCTGAACATATAAGAAATGGAAATTCGTGAAATATACACATAAATGGGCTCGATCTTCAAAGTCTTCTGTAGACTAAAAGAGCCTAGTAGAGGAGAAATGGAGAAAAGAGTGTTTTGATGCTACGCAACAGTACCAATGTTTCATGGTGTATTTAGTATGATTCGTTTAGTGCACTCACATAACTACTACATAAGGACTCTAAGCGGTTGGATGGTGTTTTTGTGGTTGTGAATGGACGTGTTAAAATATGACATGGTTTATTAAATCGATACGAAATATTTTATTTCATAAATATATAGATTTAATTTAAAAGTAATTCAAATGGTAGCATTAACGAATTATAAATTCAAATGTTTTGAATTTATTTTTTGATAATTTTTTGAGGTTAAGTCATAAGAGATTATCTTTACAAATATTCTAATTCTGGCGTAAATGACTTACTTTTGATTAGGCCGAGAAGGAAATTAGTCGAGGTAAATATAAATTGGTCTAACGCTTATGATTATCGAACCAAAAAATATATTTAGATAATAAAGTACAATACAATTCAAATATTAAAAGATAAACAAAAATAATTTTTATTTTTCGCAGTTAAAGTCTTTTTAAATTTTATTTTAAAGTTAATCTAATAGTTAATATTAATACCCCAAATTTAATAAGAAAAATAAGTCCCCAAGAGTATATTTGAAGTGACTTTTTAAAAGTAATTCTAAAATTTCTATTTCTCATAAGTACTTAAAAAAAAAATTTAGTATTTGAAATTATCCCAACACCACCACTACCACCATCATCCCCACCGCCCCACCACTACCACAACAACCCCACCAACACCATAATCGTTGTCACCCCACCACCATCATCGTCGCTACTACCACCACCATCATCGTCGCCACCTCGACTTCTCCACCCCACCACCATCATTGTCTTCACCCCCGACTGTTCCATCCTATCACCATCATCGCTGCCACCCCACCACCACCTCGGCCATAACAACCACTGCCCTATCTCCACCATTCCCACTACCACCATATCCACAGCTACCCCACCGTCGCTAAACTATCCTTATCGTCATTGTCCCACCAATACCGTTACCGTCATCTCCACCACCACCGTCACTCCCACCGCCACTACCCCATCACCACCCCCACAACACCTATTGCCCTAACACCACCACCACCATCATTGTCACTCACCATTGATTTTTACAATCGTCACCTATCGTCCTCACCTATTGCCATCGTTATCTCATTATTATATTTATTGTCACTGCTACCATGATCCCAATACTACCATCATCCGTCATCAACACCCACAGCCATCCATTACCACCACCCACAATAATCATCACACTATTCTCACCACCACCACTACCACCTCCCACCCCCATTACAAATCGGTTCTTAATTTTTTTCTCTCTCTTATATGTTTATGATATTATTTTTGGTGTGAATACAAATATGTTTATTATTGACCATTTTTTATTATTTCATGCCTTCAGGCACATGTAATAATTAGTATATCTATATAATAAAATACAATACAATTCAAATTTCAAAAGATAAACAAAATGACTTCTATTTTTTGCAGTCCAAATCGTTTTAAATTTTATTTTAAAGTTAATTCGATAACTAATATTAACGTCTTAAATTTAATAGCGAAAATAAGGCTCTTTATAGTGTATTGGGAATAACTTCTCAAAAGCACTTTAAAAAAAAAAGTAGTATTTGAAACCGTCCTGCCACTCTTACCCCCACCACCATCACTACTATCACCATCGGCACCTTACAACCATTCCTGCCACAACCACCACCACCATTACTGTCGTCGCCACCTCACCACCACCATTATTGTCGTCGCCACCTCACCACCACCACCACTACGACCGTCACCTCGTCACCACCTTTGTCACAACAATAACCACACCACCACTGTCTATTACCACTATCACCATTACTAACAATGTCACCGTAATCCTATCATCACCATTATCGTCGCCCCCACCACCACTATTATCGCCCCACCACCGACACCATCGTTGTCGCTACCATACCACCATTGTTGTTGTCACCACTATCCTTATCGCCGCATCGCCAAAAGTAGGTCATTTTATGCCTTATAGCCTGTTTAGTATGAGTGAAAATAGTATGAATGAAAAATGGTGGATGAAAAGTAGGGTAAACAATATAATTTTTTTTTGTTTGATTAGAAAAGAAAGATGGAGGAAAAAACAATGCATGCTGCCCGCCATTTTTTATCCCTCCATTTTTGGGCGGGTCTCACACCTTTTATATAATGGTTAATTACCATTTACTTCAAGGATATCATCTCTCAATAAATTATTCATATTCTATTAAGAGTATTTTTAATATTTCACTAATAATAATATTATATTATTTTTTTATGCCAAATAAAATAATAAAAAATTTATTCCTTCTACTTTTTTCATCCATCTTACCAAACAAAAAAGATCAAAAACCTCTTTCTTTCGTTAAGTATGAAAAACATATCCCTCCTATTTTTCTATCCCTCTAACATTTCATCTCTCCTATCAAACGGACCATTAAAATTTGGGACAGTGGGAGGGATGTTACAATTGAGGAAATATTAAATTTATTTTTTTTGGGGCTCACATGCGTAGAATTTTTACCAACTTATGATAAATTTCAATGCGTATTTTTTGAAACACGACTTTACACCATAATTGTGTTTCGATATAACACAGTTTTGACATTTTTTTGGTATTGAAAACACGCTTGTAGTGTAAAGTTCATAATAATAATAATAATTTAACATATAAATTTGAAACTATGGCAATTGAACACGGTAGTTGAAAAATTAATTTGGGTAAATTGCATAAATAGTTCCAGAAATTTATCACTTCTTATATTCTAATCTTTAAAATTTTAATTTCATCAATTTCATTTGTAAAGTTCAAACATTAAATAAATATGGTCCTCAACACTAATCGNTCTATTTTTTGCAGTCCAAATCGTTTTAAATTTTATTTTAAAGTTAATTCGATAACTAATATTAACGTCTTAAATTTAATAGCGAAAATAAGGCTCTTTATAGTGTATTGGGAATAACTTCTCAAAAGCACTTTAAAAAAAAAAGTAGTATTTGAAACCGTCCTGCCACTCTTACCCCCACCACCATCACTACTATCACCATCGGCACCTTACAACCATTCCTGCCACAACCACCACCACCATTACTGTCGTCGCCACCTCACCACCACCATTATTGTCGTCGCCACCTCACCACCACCACCACTACGACCGTCACCTCGTCACCACCTTTGTCACAACAATAACCACACCACCACTGTCTATTACCACTATCACCATTACTAACAATGTCACCGTAATCCTATCATCACCATTATCGTCGCCCCCACCACCACTATTATCGCCCCACCACCGACACCATCGTTGTCGCTACCATACCACCATTGTTGTTGTCACCACTATCCTTATCGCCGCATCGCCAAAAGTAGGTCATTTTATGCCTTATAGCCTGTTTAGTATGAGTGAAAATAGTATGAATGAAAAATGGTGGATGAAAAGTAGGGTAAACAATATAATTTTTTTTTGTTTGATTAGAAAAGAAAGATGGAGGAAAAAACAATGCATGCTGCCCGCCATTTTTTATCCCTCCATTTTTGGGCGGGTCTCACACCTTTTATATAATGGTTAATTACCATTTACTTCAAGGATATCATCTCTCAATAAATTATTCATATTCTATTAAGAGTATTTTTAATATTTCACTAATAATAATATTATATTATTTTTTTATGCCAAATAAAATAATAAAAAATTTATTCCTTCTACTTTTTTCATCCATCTTACCAAACAAAAAAGATCAAAAACCTCTTTCTTTCGTTAAGTATGAAAAACATATCCCTCCTATTTTTCTATCCCTCTAACATTTCATCTCTCCTATCAAACGGACCATTAAAATTTGGGACAGTGGGAGGGATGTTACAATTGAGGAAATATTAAATTTATTTTTTTTGGGGCTCACATGCGTAGAATTTTTACCAACTTATGATAAATTTCAATGCGTATTTTTTGAAACACGACTTTACACCATAATTGTGTTTCGATATAACACAGTTTTGACATTTTTTTGGTATTGAAAACACGCTTGTAGTGTAAAGTTCATAATAATAATAATAATTTAACATATAAATTTGAAACTATGGCAATTGAACACGGTAGTTGAAAAATTAATTTGGGTAAATTGCATAAATAGTTCCAGAAATTTATCACTTCTTATATTCTAATCTTTAAAATTTTAATTTCATCAATTTCATTTGTAAAGTTCAAACATTAAATAAATATGGTCCTCAACACTAATCGTTGTTCAGAAAAGAGACGAAAACACCCGGTGCCAAACATGTGACTGTTGTTAATGTTATTTTTGTAATTATATATAAAATCAAGTGAACATATATTTTTTAATTATTAATTTTTAAATCATTTTAATAATCAAAATAAGTAACATGTATCAATTAACCAATAAAATAAATCAATAACACTAAAAAAATACAATAAATTGGATAATACATAAATAATTATAATAAAACACACCAAAAAAGTCATAAACATCAATACATCATAATTACTACACAAATACAATAACAATTAATTTAGATTTAAACCAAGTACATATCAAATATCATAACTATTGTAATAAATCACCATAAATCAAGTAATACACATATAAAAAATATGAATTATATGTGTACTTAAATAATAAATTAAGTGTCAAATAATTCGTTTGTATTTTAATTATTGTTAAATTTAACTATTAATTTATTCTATAAGTTTTGAGTATCCAATCTATCATTTATTTCTCTCAGACCCTTTTAAACATTTGCACATCTAATTATATTATAAAATTATTAATTTTTATTTTGTTAAATATATTGATTTGATCGCTTATAATATTATTATATTATTTTATACTAAAAAATAAAAAATAACATATATTTGAATGTGTAATTTAACCCGATAATTACATGTATATAATAATTTAACATATATATGATTTTATTTCTTCATATAGATATATATAATTGTATGTAACTGCACTACTAATAAATGAATTTAAAAGAATTCAGAAGTCTTTATAAAAGAGTTTAAAATAAGCTG